TAGGCAGTTGGTGTGGCAGCAGCACCTGTGAGACGCTTCAGTTAACAACTGTGATTCTGGCAGAGGTGACACCCACCTCACCAACACCAGGTGAGAATGTGACTCCTGCTCAGTCGCTCCTAGTGGCTTTGGTCACTGCCCTGAAACCCATTTCACTTCGAGTTTCTCTTTCTGATTTGACACCAAGGGGCACTCAGACTTGTGACTTGAGGCTGGGAGATCTGCCCCCACATCTGAGTGTGGTCCAGGCTTTACCAGCTCTCACAACCCTGCCCAAGATTCAGGTTCTTGCTTTGCTGAGGGCTCGGACTCTGCCTCTGTGGCAACCTTAGAGGGATTGAGCCTCATTTCCGTGAAGAAAAGGCCAACTCCCCCAAATCACAGCAGGCTGGAAAGTAGCTTCTGGAGCAGGCACCTATCACTACCTCAGCGGAAGGTTTCCCAGAGAAATTCTAAGAAATTCTGATGTGGGGCTGTTCCCTTACCCACCCCCACAATCCAGTCTGGCCCAGGCCCAGCTGGCTTCCACAACTGTGGCACGGACTCTGCGAGAATGTGACTTCAGCTCATCACTCCTAGTGGCTCTGCGCACTGCCCTGAAGCCCACCTCACCTCCTGTTCCTGACTTGATACCAAGAGCAGCGCCGACTACTCTTGAGTGCAGGAACAGTTGTAATGCCCCCACATTTGAGTTTAACCCAGGCCCTGCCGGCCTCCACAACGCTGTCACAGACTGCAGCTCTTGCTTTGCTTTGGGTTCAGGCTCCACCTCCAGAGGGATTGCGGCTCTTTTTCTTTCTTTTTTTTTTTTTTTTTTGGAGGCTAAAGTGATTTTTATTTGCATGGAATTACATATTACATACCTTGTTTTCCGAAGTCCCATTTCCCTTAATCCAGACCTGGAATAAGTGCAGCTGGGGATTTAGTAGAGCTAAAAGCAAAGCCAGTGCCAGAGCTTCTGTTCCATGTTGGAATTGGGTCTGGTTTAGCATTAGGCTAATTGCAGTCCATTAGTCCATTGTGTGGTTCACATAGCTGTGAGCCCTGTGGACAAATGCAGGGGAGCAAAGAGCACACCCCCTGCAACAAGAGTCCCCCAAAAATCAAGAGGGCCAGGAGCCAAGAAGAGTGAACTCCTTTGTTCAGGGGATTAAATATCTCAAATCTTCCCATGCTTACAGTGGCCATGCCTACTCTGGTCCATGATCTGTTTCCAAGTGTGACAGACAGCCAAAAGTACCTTCCCTATTTCACCCAAACTTTACTGGACATGTGTCTATCTCTCCTCCCTCTCCCCCTCATCCAATCCCTTCCCCCATGATCTGCAGGGAATAGACTGGTGGCTCACTGGGTAGTGTTACTATTAAACTGCAGCTCTCTAGCAAAGCTGCACAAGATACATGCCTATAATATTTGGCCTTCCCTTTGCTCTTTTCCTATTATTAGTAACTAAGTTAATTATAATGATATCACTGGTACTGACATCTTTTTTTTTTTTTTTTTTTTTTTTAAATATATTTTATTGAGTTTTTACAGAGAGGAAAGGAGAGAGATAGAGAGTTAGAAACATCGATGAGAGAGAAACATCGACCAGCTGCCTCCTGCACACTCCCCACTGGGGATGTGCCCGCAACCAAGGTACATGCCCCTGACCGGAATCGAACCTGGGACCTTTCAGTCCGCAGGCCGACGCTCTATCCACTGAGCCAAACCGGTTTCGGCTGACATCTTTTTTACAAAGTCCCTGAAGTGCAGCGCGTAAGTGTCTCAGTCACCTCTACCATAAGCACCCTAAAGAACTGTGTCCTTTCTGTGAATGAGGGTGCGTGGGTGTGAGTGTGAGATGCCTGTGAGACACAGTGTTTGAAGGTGTGACAGTTTTGAGTATATGTGAGCTGAAGAAGACATACATATATGTATGTGCTCGGATGACAAATCTTGCTTCTTCAAGGATAGTATTTTTGGAAGTTCCAGAAATCATTTAGACCTGTCTGGTGACAAACTGCTGTTGGAATTAGGGAGGTAAGGGGAGTGGAGTAAGAAGGGAGGCTCTTTTGCTCCAGAAGTCCTAACCTAGATCATGGGCCTTGGCATTTATGGAGACAGCACATGGGGGGATGTTCAAAGCTCAGGGTTTGGGCCCAGATGTACTTGCCTTGGTAACTTGGGCAAGTCACTCTACTATTCTGAGCCTCAGTTTGCTTAACTACAATAGGATAGTAACCCCTAACAGACAAAGGAGGCCTTCTGGGAATCAGAACCTGGCTTCTCAGTGTGACTTCTCAAACAAAGGCGAGGCTCTTTTTCTTTCTTTTTTTAAATATATTTTATTGATTTTTTACAGAGAGGAAGGGAGAGGGATAGAGAGTCAGAAACATCGATGAGAGAGAAACACTGATCAGCTGCCTCCTGCACACTCCCCACTGGGGATGTGCCCACAACCAAGGTACATGCCCTTGACCGGAATCGAACCTGGGACCCTTGAGTCCGCAGGCTGACGCTTTATCCATTGAGCCAAACCGGTTAGGGCTGAGGCTCTTTTTCAAACACCACAGCAGAGTGGAGTGTAACTGCTGGACCAAGCACCTATCCCCACCTCAACCGACAGTTTTCTGGAGAAATTCTAACAATTCCTGACACAGCACTGCTCCCCCACATCTGAGTTTGCCCCCCACCTCCACCCAACCCTCTGGCTTCTGCAACTCTGGCTTGGACATATTTGGGGCAACCTTGGAGGGATGGAGGCTGATTTCTGGGAAGGAAAGGCCATGTTCTCAAATACCACAGCAGATTGGAAAGTAGCTGCTAGATCAAGCACCTGTCTCCACCAGAGCCCATGGTTTCCTGAAGAGTTCTAAGAAGTCTGCTTATGCCTGGGTGCTGGTGCTTCTTGGGAAGTACCTGGTGACTGGTAACCTGATTAGCCTTCAATTTGTGGGCCTGTGGTGGGCCTGTCCTCTCAGGAGTTCAGATATTATAAGAAACACTTTAAATGCAAATAATGTGTATGCCTGTCCTACATGACCCTCAAGTTATTGGGAGAATTTGGCTTGTTCACAGGTGCACACACACATACATATGGCACAGATACTGTGTTCTGAGTGGCAGCTTTTACCTTTCTGGGGATCGTTCAGTAGCAGTTTCCAAGTAAGGCTTTTGTGAACCTGGTTCCACCTAATTTAGTTATATTTTTACTAGAGGCCCGGTGCACAAAATTCATGCGGGGGGGGGGGAGCAGCCTGGCCTGCACCCTCTCCAATCTGGGATCCCTCTTGCAATCTGGGACCGCTGGCTCCTAACCACTTGCCTGCCTGCCTGATCGCCCCTAACCACCTCTGCCTGCTGGCCTGATGCCCCTCACTGCTCCCCTGCCTGTATGATCGCCCCTAACCTCATCTGCCTGCCGCCTGATTGCCCCAAACCGCCCCTGCCTGCTGACCTGATCACCCCCTTAACTGTTCTCCCCTACCAGCCTGATCGCCCCCTAACTGCCCTCCCCGGCTGGCCTGATTGCCCCTAACCGCCTCTGCCTCAGCCCCCGCCATTGTGGCTTTGTCTGGAAGGACGCCTGGAAGATGTCTGGTCTAATTAGTATATTACCCTTTTATTAGTATAGATTGAATTTATTGGAGTGACATTGATTAGTAAAATTATGTTTCATGTGTACAGTTCTACAATTCATTATCTGTATATTGTATTGAGTGTTCACCAGCTCAAGTCAAGTCTCCTTCCATCACCATTTATTTTCCCTATACTCTCTTCTACCTCCTTTCTTTCGAGTAATCACCATACTATTATCTATTACTATTTTTATTAACTACAAATGTAATATATACATACATTTTTCTTGTAAAAAGTTAGAATGCAAAATGAAAGAACAACCCTCCAAAACCCAACCCCAAACCTTCCTTCTATTCCTCTTCTTAAAGGAAGTGTTCAGAAGTGGGTGTTGCCCTAGCAGGGGGCTCCATTGGTTGGAGCATTACGTCATATACCAGAAAAGTTGCTGGTTAGATCTCTGGTCCAGGCATATACAGGAGGCAAGCAATTTATACTTCTCACATTGATGTTTCTCTCATTCTCTTTCGCTCACTTTCTCTCTAAAACCAATAAACACCCTTGGATGAGGATTTTAAAAAGTGGGTGTTTATCCTGACAGACTGTTTTCTATGAATTTATAGACATACCAAAATATATCCTTTTCGTTCTAGCTGGTTTTGCTTAGTGGTTAGAGCACTGGCCTGCAGACTGGAGGGTATCAGGTTCCGTACCGGTCAAGGGCACATACCTTGCTTGCAGGCTCGGTTCCTGGCCACATCAGGGTGCAGGAGAAAACCAATCGATGTGACTCCCTGATACCTATGTTTCTATCGCCCTCCCTCCTACTCTCTAAAAATCAATGGGAAAAAATATCCTTGGGTGAGGATTAACAAATATATCCTTTTCATAAATATAGTATTATTTGTGTATGCAAATTTTGTTATTCACCTAACATGTAGGTACTTGTAGATTTATCTTATTCTTTTGAACTGCTCTATAATTTTCCAATGTATGGGTGAAATAGATTAATTAGCTGTAACCTTATTGATACGTTTGTGGGTTGTGTAGTCTTTTGTTGTTACAAGGAGTGCTAAGTGAATGAATGTCTTTTATTTAGAACACCAGAACTATAGGGTGTCCCCAAAAAATATATACACATGCCCTAGCTGGTTTGGCTCACTGGATAGAGTGCTGGCCCGCAGACTGAAGGTTCACAGGTGTGATTCCACTCAAGGGCATGTACCTTGGTTGTAGGCTCAAACCCCAGCCCTGTTCAGGGCGCTTGCGGGAGGCAACCAATCAATGTGTTTCTCTCACATTGATGTTTCTCTCTCTGTCTCTTCCCCCTCCCTTCTATTCTCTCTAAAATCAATGAAAATATATCTTCGCATGAGGATTAACAAAGAAATGTATACACACTTTAACAGCTGCTAGCTCCATTGATGTTTCTTTCTTTTCAGATTTAACCCATTGGAATTAATAATGGAAGCCAGACTCAGATTTGAACAAAGGAAATTCATCCTAAAATGCTACTGGAAGTTTGAAAATGTAGTTGGAGTACAAAGACAATTTATGAGGGAGTTTCAAACAGGTCCATCTACGAGACTTACCATTACTTGAATTAGAAATAAGTTTGAAGCCGATGGAACTAGTATTCAGAATGTCCACAAAAAGCGTTCCGGAAAACCACAGACACCCACAAAGCAAGAAAGGGTACTGGAAATGTATCTCCAAAGTCCAAGAAAATCTGTGCAGCAAACAAGTTGTGATGTAGGAATTTCAAAATTGTCCATCGTATTTTAAAGCGCTCCCATTGGAAAAGTGACATCCAAGATTAGTCCATGCAATCAATGAAGATGATCGGACCTAAGTGTGGAGTATTACGAATAGTACTTGGCAAGATGTGTAGTAGATGCACACTTTCCAACAAAGATTGAAGTCATGAGGCAACATTTAAATTAAATGGTTCGATTAACCACTACAACTGCACCTTCTGGGGAACTGAGAATCTACATGTTATGGTGGAACATTGCCAGGGCTGACCAGCAGCCCCTGAGCGATGGATGAACAAATTACTCCAACACAGGTTTCTGTGAAAGAGAGGGCTAAGGGACTCTTACTTCAGTAGTAAAAGCAGTCCTGTTCACCTTCCTTGTTGGCTTTTTATTGTAATAACAGCTTGAGCCCTAACCGGTTTGGCTCAATGGATAGAGCGTCAGCCTGCGGACTCAAGGGTCCCAGGTTCGATTCCGGTCAAGGGCATGTACCTTGGTTGCGGGCACATCCCCAGTGGGGAGTGTGCAGGAGGCAGCTGATCGATGTTTCTGACTCTCTATCCCTCTCCCTTCCTCTCTGTAAAAAATCAATAAAATATATTTTTTTAAAAATAACAGCTTGAACTCAAATTAACCTCTAGATACAGTCAGCAGGGCAAGTATTTTTGAGAAAGTGTATGCTTCTACAAGGTCAGGTCTTTAAAGACTAAACATAGAGATTCTAGCAAAACACCCCAGGGGATTAGACTTGTTTGGAAAAGTCAATGTAGGGGCTGCTGCCTTAAGCAAGGTCCCCTCAGAGGCCCCTGACCTTTTAGTGCAGCGGGTCTCAACCTGTGGGCCGCGACCCCTTTGGGGGTCGAACGACCCTTTCACAGGGGTCGCCTAAGACCATCGGAAAACACATATATAATCACATATTGTTTTTGTGATTAATCACTATGCTTTAATTATGTGCAATTTGTAACAATGAAATTGGGGGTCACAACATGAGGAACTGTATTAAAGGGTCGAGGCATTAGGAAGGTTGAGAACCACTGTTTTAGAGAATCCTCAGACATTCCACCCAAGTCCTGTGCTTCCCACCTCTCTTGTGTTTTGCTGGCTGCAGAAGACAGATGGAGATGGTGAACTTTCTGCTTTGGAAGGTTGGGGTTTGCAAAGCACATTTATTGCTCAGGTTTTGATTTTGTAGCTTATAAGAAAAACAGAGAGAATTACAATGACAGCAATGGTTAGTTCGATTAGGTGTTGATTTTAGGAACCATGTGGTTTATTTATTTTAAATGTTTTTTATTGTATTTTAAGCAGTAGTCTGTTTTTTATGTTTATTGATAGCAAGTAAGGATTTTTTGATTTGCCTTTGTAATATTTTTTTTTTAGTAAGGTTATTATGAAAGACTTTATAGATTTTTTTAATATTAATTTAATGATGGTGACTATTGTTTTATTTTAAAGGGGTGATATATATGTGCTTATGTTTTTAATTGCAATTAAGCACTGACCTGTATGCTATAGTGTTTGTGGTGTTTTCTTTTAGATATTTAATGGCTGCCTTTATTGCTTGTAGTTTAGCTAATATTTTATTTACATGCTGTTGTATAGTGAAATTTTTAGTTATATTATAGGCCATATTGTCTATAAATGTGGCCGTTTGCAAAGATTTAGAAAGGGCTGCCACAGCGATGCTGGCAGTAGTAAGAATAACAACCACCAAGATAATGGCTACAGTGAGTATTCCCAAAAATCTTTTGGGCCATAATTGGCTTAATGCTTTTTTTAACACTTTGATAGCTGATGAGCCTTGCCATTTTTTGGTGAGATTAACAGATATTAGGATTTGTGTTTGTTTTTTAAGTACCATAATAGTGCTGATGTTTAATGAAATAATATTTTGGGTGGTAATACAGGACGTAAAATAAGCTTTTTAAAAAATCTGTATCAGAAAAGATGAATTATGGCTTATTAGTAGATTAGGGCCCATAGCAAAGACATAGGGGTGAGTGGTGTAAATCAGGCTATTGTCAGTAAGATTATTAGTAAAAGTTATAGTGGCTATAGCAGTTTTGGTAGAAATTGTGCCACAATTTTAAAGGACTGAAAATATGGCCTAATTTTTATAAAGTTTTTTGAATTGACAAGCCTAGTACTTGCGGTCGTGGGGGATTTATTTATTTATTTATTTATTTTAGTTTAAACCAGCTGTGGGCAAACTACAGCCCGTGGGCCGGATCCGGCCCGTTTGAAATGAATAAAACTATTGAAAAAAAAGACCGTACCCTTTTATGTAATGATGTTTACTTTGAATTTATATTAGTTCACACAAACACTCCATCCATGCTTTTGTTCCGGCCCTCCGGTCCAGTTTAAGAACCCATTGTGGCCCTCGAGTCAAAAAGTTTGCCCACCCCTGGTTTAAACCTTAGGTATGTTTGTATAACCAATGTAACTAGCATTAGACGCATGGTGTATCAGAATGTTAATGTGGTTGGCTTGTAAATGGCTATGTCGATTTTAATTTATAACTTGTTGGTCCCCTAGGACTGTTAAATGGGCATGATTTTTTTGATAAACTTTTTAATGGAATGCCTCAGCAGAGGAATTTTACTGCTTATTTTGTTTACATGGAGGGATGGGAGGCATAGTAGCATTAGTTAGATTACCGCAGGCCAGATTGCCTGCTGAGAGAAATATTTAATTTATTAAATTGCTTTAAAAATGCTTTTTTATATTTGAAAAACAAAAAGTTTAAAAATCAGTAACATTTTTTTAAAAATATATTTATTGATTTTTTACAGAGAGGAAGGGAGAAGGATAGAGAGTTAGAAACATCGATGAGAGAGAAACATCAATCAGCTACCTCCTGCACACCCCCTACTGGGGACGTGCCCGCAACCAGTGTACATGCCCTTGACAGGAATCGAACCTGGGACCCTTCAGTCTGCAGGCCGGCGCTCTATCCACTGAGCCTAACCGGTTAGGGCAAGAATTAGTAACATTTTTAATAAAAGTTATAAAAACAATATAATTTTTTAGTTTTATAATAAAATTTGTTTATTTTTTGCTAGTGTTTTTGTAAATTTAGAAATTTTATAGAATAATTATATAATATGGAATTTTGGTTTTTTTGTAAAACACAATACTCCAGAATATTATAATTTATAACAATTAGTTATAAATGAAAGCATATTAGATTTTATTTAATATGTATATATAAATAGAATATAATTATATTTTTTTATTTGACAGTTTTTATATATTTTAAGTATAAATTTTTTTATGAGAGAAAATAAACATTTGAGGCATTTTAGAGCCTATTGAAATGATTTAAAGACAATTTTAGGTCAAGAAAAAGTTTTTTAGTTGTTCCTCTGCAACAGAGGCACCATCTGCGTTTAATACCTGTTTCAGCACTGTCATGTATTGCTGCTGTTTTGTGGACAACTGTTGTCCCATTATGAAATCTTAGCTGAGAAAGAATCTCCTCAAACTTGGAAATCCCAGGCAGGCTCCAATGACTTACCGCACAGTTACTTTCGTTTTCTTCCTCTTCGTTTCCGAGGGTTCCACTGTGTTTCGTTGCATTCCTGGCCTCCTCACATGGGGCGGGGGGCACCAGCTGCCGGGGCTGACCACCAGCTGCCCCTGAGCGATGGATGAACAGATTACTCCAACACACGTTTCTGTGAAAGAGAGGGCTAAGGGACTCTTACTTCAGTAGTAAAAGCAGTCCTGTTCACCTGCTTTGTTGGCTTTTTATTGTCATAAAAGCTTGAACTCAAATTAACCTCTAGATACAATCAGCAGGGCAAGTATCCTTGAGAAAGTATATGCTTCTACAAGGTCAGGTCTTTAAAGGGTAAACAAAGATTCTAGCAAAACACCCCAGGAAATCAGACTTGTTTGGAAAAGTCTAAATAGAGGCTGCAGAGGCCCCTGACCTTTCAAAAAATCCTTACAAACATTCCAACCAAGTCCTGTGCTTCCCCACAAAACATCATGTGAATTTACCAGGAGTTACAGTGTGGTGTGGTTTATCATCAAGAGGATTAATTGGACATTATTTTTTGATGCTATTGTGACTGGTCCCGCTTACTTGAACTTACAGCAACAATTTTTCATGTCAAGCATTAGAGAGGTCTTTGCAGTTGAGTTTATTTTCAGCAAGATGTGGCACCCCCACACTACCATTGTGGTGTAAGATCCTACCTTGATGAGATCTTGCCAAACAGGTGGATTGGACGAAGGGGTTTTGCAGAATACCCTCCTCGTTTACCAGACCTCACACCTCTCAACTTTTATGGGGATACTTAAGAGAGAAAGTCTATGTTACAAAACTGGCAATAGTCTCAGAATTGAGAGTAGCCATTGAACAAGAATGCACTCAAATACCAAATGAAATGTTTCTAGACGTTTGTGATTCCATTGCTTTGTGTTAGCAGTGCCTGGACCAGAACGGACATCAGTTTGAAAGGTGTTGACAAACAATTACAGTGTCTGAAGATTATATTCAATTTTGAAAAATGTATTCTTTTGTGTTTTATTTTTAAATGTATCTTTATTGTTGAAAGTATTACAGGTGTCCCCTTATTTTTCCATTTACCCCACCCCGTCTCCCCTGGGCCTTCACTACACCATTGTCGGTGTCCATGGGTTATGCATATATGCATGTAAGTTCTTTGGGAAATCTCTTCCTGTCCCTCCTTCCCTTGGAGATTCATCATTCTGTTCCATGCTTCTATGTCTCTGGATCTATTTTGTTCAGTTTATTTGATTCACTAGATTCTGCATAATGAGGTCATGTGATATTTGTTTTTCTCTGACTGGCTTATTTCACTTAGCATAATACTCTCTCAGTCCCTCTTTGCTGTCTTAAAAAGTAGGAGATCCTTCTTTTTTACAGCTGCATAGTATTCCATTGTGTAAATGTACTACATCTTTTTTATCCATTCTGATGGGCACTTGGGCTGTTTCCAGATCGTAGCTATTGTAAACAGTGCTATGAACATATATTTTTTCGGTTTGGTGTTTTAGGATTCTTAGGATATATTCCCAGAATTTGGATCACTGAGTCAAACAGCAGTTCCATTTTTTACTTTTTTGAGGAAACTCCAAAATCTTTTTCCATGGCGGCTGCACCACTCTGCATTCCCACCAGCAATGTACTAAGATTCTATTAGGGTTCCCTTTTCTCTTCATCTTCTCCAGCACTTGTTGTCTGTTGTTTTGTTAATGGTAGCCATTCTGACAAGTGTGAGTGGATACCTCATTATCGTTTTAATTTGCATCTCTCTGATGATTAGTGACTTTGAGCATTTTTTATGTACAGGGCCATCTGTATGTCCTCCTTGGAGAAGTGTCTATTTAGGTCCTTTGCTCATTTGTTAATTGAATGGTTTGTCTTCCTTTTGTTAAGTTGTATGAGTTCTTTACTAGTGTATATTTTGGAAATTAACTTATCAGATGTATCCTTGGCAAATATGTTCTCCCCTGCAGTGGGCTTGTTATTTTGCTGATGGTTTCTTTTGCTGTGCAGAAGCTTTTTATTTTGATGTAGTCCCATTTGTTTATTTTCTCCTTTGCCCTAGGACAGGGTTCCTCAAACTTTTTAAACTGGGGGCCAGTTCACTGTCCCTCAGACCGTTGGAGGGCCGGACTAGAGTTTAAAAAAAAAAACTATGAACAAATTCCTATGCACACTGCACATATCTTATTTTGGAGTAAAAAAACAAAACGGGAACAAATACAATATTTGTATTTGCATGTGGCCTGCGGGCCGTAGTTTGAGGACCCCTGCCCTAGGAGATGTATCAGCAAACATACTGCTATGAGAGATGTCTGATATTTTGCTACCTATGGTTTCTTCTTGGATTTTTATGGTTTCACGACTTACATTTAAGTCTTTTAATTTGGGGTTGATTCTAGTGTTTGGTGTAAGTTGGTGGTCTAGTATCATTTGTTTGCATGTACCTGTCCAGTTTTCCCAACACCATTTATGGCATTATTTGCAGATAACATGGTATCATACATAGAGAACCCTAAAAACTCCACCAAAAAAACCTAGTAGGCTTATTAGTAATGAGTTTGGCAAAGCAGCAGGATGCAAAATTAAAATCCAGAAATCAGTGGCATTTTTATACACAATAATGGACTCTTAGAAAGAGGAACTAAGCCCAGCCAGAGTGGCTCAGTGGTTGAGCATCGACCTCTGAACCAGGAGGTCACGATTCCATTCCCGACCAGAGCACATGCCCAGGTTGTGGGCTTGATTCCCAGTGTGGGAGGTGAAGGAGGCAGCTGATCAATGATTCTCTCTCATCATTAATGTTTCTATCTCTCTCTCCCTCTCCCTTCCTCTCTGAAATCAAATAAAAAAAAGAAAAACTAAAAAAATCCCATTTACCATTGCAACAACAAAAATAAGATACCTTGAAATAAACTTAACCAAGGAGGTATATGACCTGTATTCAGAAAACTACAGGACATTGAAATAAATAGAGGAAGATACAAACAAATGTAAGAATATACCATGCTCATGGAATTAACAATCAAAATGTCCATACTACCCAAAGCAATCTATAGATTCAAATCAAACCCTATTAAAATACCAATGGCATATTTCAACAACAAATACTTCAAAAATATATATGGAACCAAAAAAGACCCCAAATAGCCTCAGCAACCTTGAGAAAGAAGTATAAAGTAGGAGGGATGATATCGAATTATACTACAAAGCCATTGTAATCAAAACAGGTTGGTATTAGCACAAGAACAGGAATATAGATCAGTAGAACATAACAGAGACCCCAGAAATCACCCCAAGCCATTATGCTCAATATTTGAAAAAGGAGGCAAGAGCATACAATAAAGACAGTCTCTTCAATGAAGTATTGGAAAATGAAATGTATTTTAATAAACATTGCCTTTATAATTATTCGAAGTGTGTATACATTTTTGGGGGACACCCTGTGTATCTGCAAGGTAACTTTTTATAAGTAGATTTACTGGGCCAAAGAATATCCCCCCTTTTAAATTTCTAGAGCTGGTGATAAATAATATCCATAAAAGTTGTGTCAAATTACACCCTCACAGTGTATGAAGTTCTGTTTTGTTACAGTCTATCACAATGTCAGTAAACTGATGTGTGCAAAAAAAAAAAAAGCCTCATGTTTATTTGGATGAAAACACTTTGGAAATAGTACATGTCTATATCTTGTTAAGCTGAAGTATGCTCAACTGTAATTTAACCTTTTCTTAATGATTCAGGTTCTTTATTAGAAACTATATTTTTATAGGTTATAAAATCTGATGATCATGTTTATTAAAATTATTCTTAAAATAAGAATAGATTTAGGGTGGGGTCCTGAAGGTTTCTCCTATGAGTAAAACACATGAGCTTTGGTATCTGCCCTAAACTTTTTATTTCCCACTTTCATGTGGGAAATAATAATCTAAAATTTTTATTTTAGATTATTAAAATAGCCTCCTCCTTTATTATATTTGATAAACTTGCACTGAACATTTATCCCATCTTAGATGCAAAGGTACAGAGATGAATCTCAAGGAGCTCATATCTAAGTGGTAAAAAACAGAAGTTAGTAATTAATATAGTGTATATAGTGTGATAGGTGTTGGTGTAGACAAGATGTTATGGGAAGAACCCCACAGGGAACTGGTCTTGGTTTGGTAATTAGGAAAGTGAAGGAATTCAATTCTGATGAAGTGACAAATGCTTTCATTTGAGCCAAGTATGAAAGGATGCATAAAAACTAGTTAGCTAGTGGAAAAAAGAGAGTATGTATAAGCATTCCAAGCAAAGTAAATAGTGGAGGGAATTCGGGTGCTCAAATGTGAAGAGACTTCTATACCATGTGAGAAGTTTGGAAATATTCTTAAAGAGATAGTTGGTCATTTTAACTCTATTCCATCCTTCCATACTATGCAATAGCTTTTTGAAACCATGTTATTAAACCTGAATTTGGACTTCACCTGTATTTCTAGCTGTATCACTAGATCTCTCTATGCACTGACTGCCAGCTACACCAGAATGCTTGCTGTTTCCCAGACATGCTGCTCCATCAGGACTGCAGGCCCTTCTCCCCCTTATCAGATCCGCACAGATCTGCCTGCGAGGCTCAAATGCCACCTCCACCAAAGTGCTTCCCTGAACTTTTTCTCCTCTCACCGCTCTAGGTCAGTGATTTTCAACCGATGTGCCACAAGAATTTTTAAGATATGCGATACCTGACTATTGAGTCAGGGGCACTGACCTTTTCCCTCAGATTGTCAGATTAAAAAAAAAAAAAAATGACAACAGCCATATATCATCTAGCAGAGTAATCGGAGATACCCAGACATCGTCTCTCTCTGAGACACCGAGTCAATATCCTGTGTTGCTTAGGGTTTTGGAGGGGCGGGGAGGATAGCTGGGAACTGATAGGACTGGGGTACCAGGTTCCATTTGACAATGATTTAGAGTAGCCCTTTGTATGTATCTCTACTTACTACCCTATAACATACATACTTATGGTTCCTTTTTAAAGTGCTGTGTATTAAGCTGTGAGCTTAATCAAAACCATGGCTATGATGCCCTCGCCGGTTTGGCTCAGTGGATAGAGCATTGGTCTTCAGACTGAAGGGTTTCAGATTCCCTCCTGGTCAAGGGCACATGTCTCAGGTTGCAGGTTCGATCCCTGGCCCTGGTTGGGAGGCAGCCAGTCGATGTGTCTCTCGCATCAATGTTTCTCTCTCATCTCTCCCCCTCCCTGCCACACACACTCTAAAAATCAATGAAAGAATATTCTCGGGTGAGGATTAACAAGAAAACATGGCTATGACTAGAAAGAGGTATGAAAGCATTTCTGGGGTGCTAATAACATTATCTTGCCTTTCTCGGGTGCTAATCACTTGGGAGATGTTCACTTTGAAAAATTTATCATGATGTAGTAGTCTTTTAATTTTAAATGACCTCCCGTTTATTTTAGAATACCTTGCTTAATCTTGCTTTACATAATTTATAGCCAGCCTATCCTGACTGGCAGTTTTCTTATAGAGGCTTCTATGCTGCTTGTCTTTCTTCCTCCTTCCCTCTATGGACAGACCTCCTCATTTGAAATCAATAAAAACATCTTTAAAAATGTACTGCTATCAGTCCTATTTCCTACTCCTCCAATTCTGAGGGTTCAGAGCCCAAAGCAGATCCCTTTCGTCTCTTATTAGTGACGGCTTCCTTCCTAGCTCTGGTCTCTCAGGACCTCCCCTCCTTCCTACAAGTGGATGGTTCTCTCTCTCTGTGTCAACTCTCTGACTTCAGCTTTATTTTCCCCAAAAATTGAAGTCACAGCCATGACTTATAGACTGCCGCAGGCAGGCTCTGTCCTGCAATGCTGAAAAATATCGCTGTCTTTAGTGTTGACAAGAATACTCCTTCCTGGGAAATGTAGTATATTGACTTTTGAGTGGAAATCAGTGTTTTAACTAAATTTGAATTAAGAAGACACAACTTTGGATGCGATTCTGAGGAGGTGGGGAAGAAGGAAGGGAAGAATAAAGTTATTTCAGGATTGTGATTGATTTTAAGATATGTCTTCATTGTTTTAGAAAGCGCTAAGAACAATATGTAGTAACTGCTAAACTATAATTTTCATGATTCAGAGAATGCAAGAGGTCTTTCTTTTAATATATGATATTTGTAATCATCTGAAATCTTTAGTTTCAGGGAAATGGAAAACTTTTCTTTGAGGGATCTACAAGTTCGAACATGCCCGCCTCTAACCAAGCTCAAAATGGTTGACATTCACAGCCCTGTGGAATATGTTACAACTGTCTGTCCACACTGATCAATTTTAGAAGGTACTGCTGTCACGTGATGTGGTTTCTTCTTTATGTGGACTATTAACTAACAAAAGGGAAGGGACGTGAAATTAACTGACTGCCATGCTTTGTGTGGCCTGGTGAATAAACAAAAAGTAATGTGGGAGTATTTAGTCAACAATATTTATAAACTAGTCCTATACAATATGACTACATAGCAAAAGTCTAGATCAGCTATTTTTAACCTTTTTCATCTTAGGGCACACATAAACTAATTACTAAAGTTCTGTAGCTCACACAAAAATA